TGCCAGCCCTGAAACCAGCCCTGAAATGCCATCGCTTAAACATTCCCTTGGCATGCTTCATCCTGCAGCCAGCAGGCACCCCAAGGCCACACATCAATGGCTTCTTATGGGCGTCCAAGCCTGCCGTTTGCCAGCCCTTAAACCCTTAAAACGCTTAAAAGGCTTAAAAACCCTCAAAATGCTTAAAACCCTTGCCCGCCGTTTGCCAGCCCTGAAACCAGCCCTGAAACGCCATCGCTTAAACATTCTCCTGGCATGCTTCATCCACGCTTAAAAGGCTTAAAACGCTTAAAAACCCTCGTCCAAGCCTGCCGTTTGCCAGCCCTGAAACCAGCCCTGAAACGCCATCGCTTAAACATTCCCCTGGCATGCTTCATCCTGCAGCCAGCAGGCACCCCAAGGCCACACATCAATGGCTTCTTATGGGCGTCCAAGCCTGCCGTTTGCCAGCCCTTAAACCCTTAAAACGCTTAAAAGGCTTAAAACGCTTAAAAACCCTCAAAATGCTTAAAACCCTCAATGGGTGTCCAAGCCTGCCGTTTGCCAGCCCTGAAACCAGCCATGAAATGCCATCGCTTAAACATTCCCTTGGCATGCTTCATCCTGCAGCCAGCAGGCACCCCAAGGCCACACATCAATGGCTTCTTATGGGCGTCCAAGCCTGCCGTTTGCCAGCCCTTAAACCCTTAAAACGCTTAAAAGGCTTAAAACGCTAAAAAACCCTCAAAATGCTTAAAACCCTCAATGGGCGTCCAAGCCTGCCGTTTGCCAGCCCTTAAACCCTTAAAACGCTTAAAAGGCTTAAACCGCTTAAAAACCCTCAAAATGCTTAAAACCCTCAATGGGCGTCTAAGCCTGCCGTTTGCCAGCCCTGAAACCAGCTTTGAAACGCCATCGCTTAAACATTCCCCTGGCATGTTTCATCCTGCAGCCAGCAGGCACCCCAAGGCCACACATCAATGGCTTCTTATGGGCGTCCAAGCCTGCCGTTTGCCAGCCCTTAAACCCTTAAAACGCTTAACAGGCTTAAAAACCCTCAAAATGCTTAAAACCCTTGCCCGCCGTTTGCCAGCCCTGAAACCAGCCCTGAAATGCCATCGCTTAAACATTCCCCTAACATGCTTCATCCTGCAGCCAGCAGGCACCCCAAGGCCACACATCAATGGCTTCTTATGGGCGTCCAAGCCTGCCGTTTGCCAGCCCTTAAACCCTTAAAACGCTTAAAAGGCTTAAAAACCCTCAAAATGCTTAAAACCCTTGCCCGCCGTTTGCCAGCCCTGAAACCAGCCCTGAAATGCCATCGCTTAAACATTCCCTTGGCATGCTTCATCCTGCAGCCAGCAGGCACCCCAAGGCCACACATCAATGGCTTCTTATGGGCGTCCAAGCCTGCCGTTTGCCAGCCCTTGAACCCTTAAAACGCTTAAAAGGCTTAAAACGCTTAAAAACCCTCGTCCAAGCCTGCCGTTTGCCAGCCCTGAAACCAGCCCTGAAACGCCATCGCTTAAACATTCCCCTGGCATGCTTCATCCACGCTTAAAAGGCTTAAAACGCTTAAAAACCCTCGTCCAAGCCTGCCGTTTGCCAGCCCTGAAACCAGCCCTGAAATGCCATCGCTTAAACATTCCCCTGGCATGCTTCATCCTGCAGCCAGCAGGCACCCCAAGGCCACACATCAATGGCTTCTTATGGGCGTCCAAGCCTGCCGTTTGCCAGCCCTTAAACCCTTAACACGCTTAAAAGCTTAAAACGCTTAAAAACCCTCAAAATGCTTAAAACCCTCAATGGGCGTCCAAGCCTGCCGTTTGCCAGCCCTGAAACCAGCCCTGTAACGCCATCGCTTAAACATTCCCCTGGCATGCTTCATCCTGCAGCCAGCAGGCACCCCAAGGCCACACATCAATGGCTTCTTATGGGCGTCCAAGCCTGCCGTTTGCCAGCCCTTAAACCCTTAAAACGCTTAAAAGGCTTAAAAACCCTCAAAATGCTTAAAACCCTTGCCCGCTGTTTGCCAGCCCTGAAACCAGCCCTGAAATGCCATCGCTTAAACATTCCCTTGGCATGCTTCATCCTGCAGCCAGCAGGCACCCCAAGGCCACACATCAATGGCTTCTTATGGGCGTCCAAGCCTGCCGTTTGCCAGCCCTTAAACCCTTAAAACGCTTAAAAGGCTTAAAACGCTTAAAAACCCTCAAAATGCTTAAAACCCTCAATGGGTGTCCAAGCCTGCCGTTTGCCAGCCCTGAAACCAGCCATGAAATGCCATCGCTTAAACATTCCCTTTCAGTTGTATTTCTTCATGGTTTTCCTCGGCACTATTCCCACATCAGGATTGAGGCATATCTGTCACGTGTGGCCTGTCATGCCAATGCACGCCTTAGCACATAATCTCTAGATATTTCTCAGGGTGTTTCTTCAACATGCTATGGTAACTACATTTATATATGCAAGACCGCAACGTCTTTACGAGACATCGCACTCCTTCCGGGGGCGCCCTTGAAGTTCTTCTTTTTCGCAATGCCAATCTTCTTGACTTGTTGACGTCGCCTGTTGGCAATCGCTCTCTTGTAACGACTGTTGTACGTTCGTTTGTCAAACGAAGCTGTGAACCACTCGTCATTGGGCACAGCCTTCAAAGCCTTGCCAATCAGGCCGTCCACCTGCGCAGCACTGGGAACCTCTTTGGCCTCCGTCACCAGCTTTAAAAACCATTGAAGCTTGCCAGTGTGGCCGCAACAGCACACAGGGTATCCGCGTCTTGACTAACGTGGGCCAACACTTCCAAGCACCGCAATGTCTCCGGATCTGAATCCTCGGAATATCTATCTATCTATCTATCTATCTATCCATGTATCTATCTATCTATCTATCCATCTATCCATCTATCTATCTATCTATCTATCTATCTCTCTCTCTCTCCCTCTCTATCTATCTATCTATCTATCTCTCCCTCTCTATCTTTCTCTCCCTCTCTATCTATCTCTCCCTCTCTATCTATCTATCCATCTATCTATCTATCTATCCATCCATCTATCTATCTCTCTCTCTCTCTCTCCCTCTCTATCTATCTATCTCTCCCTCTCTATCTATCTATCTATCTATCTATCCATCTATCTATCTATCTATCTATCCATCTATCTATCTATCTATCTATCTCTCTCTCCCTCTCTATCTATCTATCTATCTATCTCTCCCTCTCTATCTTTCTCTCCCTCTCTATCTATCTCTCCCTCTCTATCTATCTATCCATCTATCTATCTATCCATCTATCTCTCCATCTACCTATCTGTCTATCCAACTGTCTATCTATCTATCTGTCTATCTCTCTCTCTCTACCTATCTATCCATCCATACATCCATCCATCCATCCATCCATCTATCTCTCTCCCTCTCTCTACAGGACCCCCCAAATAGGGGGGGTCGGCGGCACCCGGGCGCTAGCCCATTCTATTTGAACATCCCATGTCCACTCCTTATGTAGTTGTCTGCTATTTCTGTCGGTTACTCATATAGTAGTTGGTTCATAGGTTTCCCTGTTTAGCTCAGAATCCCCAATCAACTAGGTAGTATATAAGTCCCCATGTTAATAAATCAACCAGGGTACGGTAACTACATCTAAATAATTCTAAATATACGGATCTTTAAATATACCAACTGGTTTTAGGTTTTCCTTGGCCCGCCCAGCCATTAAAACATACGGAAACCAAATTATTTAAATATAAATTTAAAATCATTCAAAATCATGTAGATATACGGATGGAACTGGTGTTTCATACTACCTCCGGGGCCTTGTGGTCCGGCCCGTCCTCCACACATTTTAATGTCGTTACCATATTGATAATGCCTCGATTGCCACCTAGTGACACAATTTTTGTGTCGCGATGTTCACGTTTTTGGCGTTGCGACAGCGCTTGAGAGCCAAAGCAGCCGGATTTGCCCTACTGGCGATGCTGCCCAGTTGGTTTCACCTCCGGGGGGAAATCAAACGTGGCTGGCTGAATAAATGGAGATGTTAGCGAAAATCATAAGGAAAAACGGGCAACTACACTACACTATACGAATGAAGATTTTAGCAGGAAATTCATCTTCAAGTAAGTGGAGATTTTTTTCAATTGTTATGTTTGCCGGAGGGTAGGTTGGTTTACTTGGCGATATATCTCAAAGAAACATCATAAAACGGTTACCGTGAAAATCACTTCCAACGCAGAATCGCTCAGTTACAGTTGGTTTAGTTCTCTGGGTTAACGGATGGATTTATGCTATTTATAATCACAGTTTGGGGGCTCACAGACCAGAAAACATCAGTTGGGGCACGACATTGTAGGATGTCATTCGGCATAGACGCTTGAATATAACGGCTGTTTGCGTATGTTCGCGTCACCTATTTCTGGATGCTATCCCGGGATGAGATTGAAATCGGGAATGATTGGGATTGAGCCGGTGGGTACCCCTGTAATCACCTGTACACCCTCTGATGAAATCTTCTCTTCTAGGGGTGAGATTGATGTTGAGGATCGTTACTCTGCCAATGCATTGAACTGTTCTTTCTCCATCTGAAACGGATTACAAACAAAGAACCCAAACGTAGTAGAATCATGCAGAATCCTTCAAATAATGTCAAATCCAATCACAAACAACCTTGATTACCCTGCAAAAACTTGTTTTCCCAATATTGATTAAAAATGCAGAAACCCTCCCATTGGCACACCGAGGGTTTTGGCTGTCCTAAGCTACCCCCAAAACGTTGCTGGTTGTGCCGAGCACTTTGGCTCACGCAAACAGCCAACGTTAGATTCCCAACAGAGACTTGGCATGATAATTCTTCCAAACAAATCGAACAAGTAATTCAACTATACTATCCTCTGGTAAACAAACTATAGCTATGGAATCAGCATGTTCAATGGGTAAATCATGGTAAATCATCTCTAAATCGGCCATGTTCCAGTTCGCAAACTGTAAACGCTTACCGCCCTAGCAGCTAAATGGACCCGTCTTTTTCTGCGCACTTTTTCGGCGAGTTCTCTCCTCAAGATCCGGCGAAGTGCAGGACATGCCGGATCTTCTGGGTCGAAAAATGGACAGGTTGCTCAATCCACATATTAAACACCACCAAAAAACCATGGTTTTCTTAGAAACTTAGATGGCTTTAGCATGGTTTAGCCATTTTTGGGACCAAAAAAAAGTGTGGCAAATCCCACAGGCTTTATGTTGACTGATTGCCAGCTCCTTGGTGGCTCTCATGTTTTCACCCTTGTTGAAAATGCTTTGGATGTCGTTGGCATCACCACAGTAGATGATAGCAACTGGAACTCTCACCAACAAAATCAACAAGAACAACTACATAGTGTTGATATCAACCAGCAAACATGCGGTATTCACCAACAAAGAGGATTACGACAAGCTCAAAGACCGTCGGAAATTCAGAACCCTTAAAATAGAGGTACTGTACCATATTATGTGCAATATTGTGGGGATCTTCTCTTACGTAGCCCTGAATCATAGGTTTTTTTTGGTGGTAGCTACCTTCAGTAAATCAGTTCCAAATCGTGGGGTCGTCGAACAACATGGGGGGTCGAAAGAGGGACTGCGGCCTTTTTTCACAGCAGAGATAGCTAGCTAGAAACCTGCATAATTTTATGCAAATTTATAGTGGATGTTAAATTGCCATGTTCTTTTTAATACCGGAGGGTACCCTCTGGTAAACTAACATAACTATGGAAAATCACCATTTTTGATGGGAAAATCCACTATAAATGTCCATTTTCAATAGCTATGTTAAATTACCAGAGGGTATTTTTTCACATGTTTGAAACCCACGATAATTGGCGAAAAACACCCCAACAAAAACTGTCCGAGGCCCTGGTCCCGGAATAGCCAGGGCTGGTTTAGTTTCGTTCACGTGGTGAACTGCTAGGTGATGATTACCATCTTATTTAACATAATTAGATACCCATAGGGTCCATGTATGGTATTTATACTAACATACTAACATTGGGGGTATATTGATGGTAAATGTTACCATATATAGCATACATGGATCCTATGGGATATGGAAAATGACCCATTTAGTTCGATAATTTCAGATGATTTGCCTACATTAAACATATGTTCGCCTATTTTTCCCATAGTTACGTTTAAAAACAATATAAGGTAAGATATTGATATACAGTTAGGTGGCTTATCATCGAAACGAACAAACACAATCACTGCCCATTTCATGATTAAAAAAATCATGGTCAATCTTCGGTAGTCGGCAACAATAAACTATATGTTGCTGATTCTTGTCTTATTTCTAATGTTTGATTTCACATTCCCGCTCCAGCTCAAAGGTACGTGTCTCCCTCAAAAAAAATGGGTTTTCCCTAGATCTAGTATATTACATGGTTGGGATTGCATAGGTGTATATATATATATGATGAAGCTCAAAGCTACCTTGCTGGCTCACTGCCTCCTTGCTAGCTCAAAGCTCAAAGCTACCTTGCTGGCTCAGTGCCACGTAGCTGGCTCAGTGCCACGTAGCTGGCTCAATGCCACGTAGCTGGCTCAGCGCCTCGTAGCTGGCTCAGCGCCACGTAGCTGGCTCAATTTTTTTAGCGAAAAAAAAAAAAAGGAAAAAAAAAACCTCGCAGAAATTGAGCCGGCTACATGCCCTTGAGCCGGCTCGCCAATGCGTCATGAACCCGGCCAATACATAGCTAGTATTCGTTTTGATGCTCTCACATTCGTCCGCCAGCTCAACGTGACGTAGCTGGCTCAATTTCTGCGAGTTTTGTTTTTTCTTTTTTTTTTTCGCTAAAAAAATTGAGCCAGCTCGATGCCATTGAGCTAGCTCGATGCCCCTGAGCCAGCTACGTGGCATTGAGCGAGCTCGATGGTGCTGAGCCAGCTCGTTGCAGTTGAGCGAGCTCGCAGAAACTTCCCAATCTGTTAAATTGCATTAAATTGCCAGGTTCAATCCCCACTGATTACTTTAGTACTAGATATGGTACCTCTGAAAAAGCCCAAGGTGACTGTCAAAACATACCCCTGATGAAATTGAACCAGCTACATGTTTTGAGCTAGATCGAAAAAATGGAAGATTGGGAATTCCAACATTATATTATTTCTGATTGGTGGCTTCAAGCCCCCTGAAAAATAGTCAGATTGGATCATCATCCCAACTATTGGGCAAAATCAAAGCCATGTTCCAAACCACCAAGCAGTTATCCATTTGTGCTAAAAAAAACTCTCCAGGATTAGAAAAAAACAAAAAACTCATCCAATCCTGGTTGGTGGTTTTAACCATCTTGAAAAATATTAGTCAATGGGGAGGATTATCCCATATATTATGGAAAATAAAAAATGTTCCAAACCACCAACCAGAATCAGTGATGTTCATCACTGCTGTCCCAGTCGACTGGGTTCTGCGCTCAGCAACAGTGAATACGATCTGGTGGAATACTCCTGACGAGATGTTTCCGGGATCATCACAAATCATCCCACGGTCATCACGGAAATCCGCTTTTAAGCTGAAAAAGCACCAGTCACTAGCCTCTGGTAAACGTTTACAACAGAATTATGTGTTTTTTGTTGGAAATTGAGTGATTTATAGTGATTTTTGATGGGATTTATAGTGATTCAATGGGATATTAATTGGATATACCCTCTGGTAAACATACAAAAAAACATCAAAAAACGATGGAAACATCCAGCATTCTGAATAGGTAAATCAACTATTTCTATGACCATGTTCAATAGAAAACTGTTGGTCATTCCCAGAGGGTATTATGTATGGAATATCCGCATTGATGGGATGAAGTATGGGGATTATATATATGAACTTTAAACCACTTACCCTCTGGTAAATTAACATAGACCCTGAAAATCACCAATTTTTAGAGGAAACTAATCTTCCAACCCCAACAACTACCAGGGTCGAACTGTTAATTTACTGGAGGCTACTACTTACATCTACTTATGAAAACTGCTGCTTGGCTTGGAAAAATAGGCTGATAACTTGATAACACACCAGGGTAAATGGGAGACCAGAATCGGGGACGGACCACGGGATGATCCTCGACATTCAGATGGAGCTACCCAGTGGACCCAGGTACAACAAAAATGGCCCTATGATGGCCCCAAACATATGGCTTTAATTAAAACTTTAATATGGTACATGGGAACAGAACAGCCCTTTGTCCTCACGGCCAGAAATTGAAATCCCTATAGCTGATGTGAACCCATTGCTTCATGACAAAATACCTGGTACTGTGGTAAACCCAACAATAGACCTCCATAGTTTTACCAGACAAAGGTGGTATATAATATTAAACATATATATTATAGACATAACATTAAAAAACTGAAGTTGTTTATTGGGATTACAACATGGTACTCTCTTGAAATCAAACATGGCGTGCTGGAGACAGCCCAGAAACAGTTCAGGGATTTGAAAAAGCCATGTCAGATTGCCCGAGGATAGTCATTTCCATATCTCACCATATCTCCATCCCCCTATAGGTTGCTTTAGAACACCCTAGGGGGTAACTGGTTGAACCATAAACATCGGGTGTTATCTAGTTATAAACCCAAACGACTTCAGTTGGGTTATAACATTTTGAAATCATAAAAATCACTGTTAATTGGTTACATCATGTTACATCTCCGCCCCCTAGTTATAAATTGCTGCAGAACACACTAGTTTTATAACCAAGATTAACCATACAATCACTGGTTTCTAGGTCTGTAATATGCTGTACCTTCTGTTTTGCACTAACATAGCTGTAGAACATGTGCCATTTAGTTCGTTGATTTGCGGGTATCTATTAAAATAGTGATTTTCACTGGCAAACTGTTAGTTTACCAGATGGTAGAACATGTTCAGTCCACATTTGTCACCATTTACTTCACCATTAAGCCCCATCATTAAACCCCATTAATTAAACCCCATTAAACCACCATTTTTCAACAACTGTAGATGCTTCCACCGTGGCATAGCTTTCCCCTGGCCGCGTCCTGAGTTGGATGAAGAGCGGCAGCCGTGGATCCAAGTGTCGCTCGGGGCAGCTCAGCTCCTCACCGAAGACTACGTGCCACCAGGGCCTCAGGGATTTTCCAGGATATCCCCAATGCTAATTGATATTGTTATTAATGATTGATGATGGTTATTATTATTGCTATTACTAATGTTTGTTAATGGATATTAATGGTTGTCAGTGGTTATTAATGGATGATGATTGATGATGATTGATGATGATGATGATGATTATTATTATTATAGTTATGGTTAGGCTCAGAAGTTCAATGATGATTATTCAGAGAATCCCCATAGAATCCCATCTAATCTCCTTTTAAGGGTTTGTCGAAATCGGGGATCCCAACACCCATGGGTTTCAATACCAAAATGGTCTAATGGTCTAATTGTAATAATTTACTAACCTGAAAAGTTCGGCTATATTGGGATTATTTCCCTATACATTCACCATGATTCCAGTGAGGTCGCGCTGAAGTCACTATACTGTACCCATATAAGATGATGATGGTTGATATTGGGATGAATCATAATGATTAATTATGAATAATATTAGAATAATTCATATGATGATGGTAATATGATAAAAATGATTCTTCGTCTCTGAGGATGACAATTATCACCATTATTAGATGATAATTGTAACTTTTAGATGATGATACTGTTTAATAATGACAATGATTAATAATAGTGAATGATTGTGATGATGGTGATGGTAAGTATTGGGATGATTCATCATGATGATGGTAATATGCTTAATAATGCTTGTGATAATATGGTTAAACTAACATAGCTATGGAAAATCACTATCTTGACCCTCTAGTAATTTAACACTTTGCGATTGAACATTGCCATAGAAATAGTTGAATCACCCATTCAAAATGCTGGATCTGTCCATAGTTTTTTGTATGTTTACCAGAGGGTATATCCCATTAATACCACATTGAATCACTATAAATCCCATTAATATCCCATTGAATCACTATAAATCCCATAAAATCACCATAATTCACTATCAATTTCGATTAATATCCCATTGAATCAGTACGCAAACTGTTAGTTTACCAGGCCGGGTATCATTTACCCAGATCATTGTGTTTCACATCTGAGCGACTGTGGAGGAACGGCCTTGCACCAGGGTTTCACAACGCACCCTGTATGGTTGTGTATCAACAGGAAAAACATGGAAAAAGAACACAACCACTAGACCACCAAAAAAAATAGCTGAAGATATTCTTCAAAGATATTCAAAGTATTTGGGTAAAATAGATTTTGGTTTTGGTGTGGAGACTTTGGGTATCCACAATTTGTCGCCAAGTCCTCCTGCACCCCCCACGGCTGAAAACCGAGGCCGAGACATCCAAAGTTGCGCTGGGGCTCGGCATGTCAAGTCCTGGTGCAATCTGGTGAGCAGTACCAGACCTGGGATGCACGTCTAAGTAGGATATAAATTTGGTTATGTATAAACATATATATAAAAATAAATATAGACAACAAATTATATACATATACACAATAATATGTATATACATCTAGAAAGATAGATAGATAGATAGATAGATAGATAGATAGAAAGATAGAAAGAAAGATAGATAGAAAGATAGATAGATAGATAGATAGATAGATAGATAGATTAGATATATACCATATTACATATTCCACAAACCTACCTATATAAACACATATACACATGCCACATACATTTATGTATATATATATATATACACATACATAGGTATACACAGATATACATGTCGGTTCCTCTTTCGTTAATCATGATCTCAGTGTATTCCAAGCTCTTTCATCAATTTGCCCTGACAAACACTAAACATGGTCCAAGAATGCTTGGAATCTTGCACAATGGTATGCAATCAGAAACGGCGAATTCCACCCTTGGCACCAACTTGATTTTGAAAACATAATCATGGATCAAGTTTATTCACTTCAACTTACTGGGTCAAAATCGTAGTACAAACACATGGGAATGTCCCCCTGAACACCTTGACGCAGTGCATCGCTCCTGCCACGTTACGAACCTGCCGCTTGGAAACAAATGAAAATAGGACCACTCAGACGCGAAGTATTCCAGGGCGTTCTTGTACCTCGGCAACAATATACGATCTCTTTGGCACGGAGGTTGGATCGCGGATATGCGAAAAACCCAAGGTTTTTTGAAACGTACCCCAAGTGGAAATCCCTTTTTCGGAAACTGGTCGCAGTCTCCCAAAAAATATCATCCAAAAATTGAGGGTTTCCTAAATTGGTACCCCAAAAGCTGGATGGTTTATAAGGGAAATTCCCAATCAACAATGGATGATTTAGAGCTACCCCTATGACTAAACGGAAACCTCCAAATCATCAGTTCCCCCATGAATTTCCCGGCCTCTGATGTCACATACCCGATGTTCCATTCAAAAGTGTACTGTATAGATATAGTGCATGTTCAAGGGGTACAATATATATATATATATGTACTATACATATGTATATACATACATATATATATATATACACATAGAAAATGATTATAATTATTTGAACCCAAAAGGTCGTGCAGCTTTCGTTTTGACCGCACAACCACAGAGAGTCACGATGTGGTGCCCGTGCCTAAAGAGACAACATAAACACCACGGATCACTCCCGCAGGAGGCAAATGAGGAAGCAACAGCTTGGAAAACAAAAACACCAAAAGAAAAAGGCACCACAGGCCCACAAAATCTTTGGGATGGGTGGCCGAGGGGAGCCGAAATCAATAGTACATTGGGTCAAATACTCGTGCACTGCCTAGTGGCATGACACTCGTGGTATTGAACCCAAAAGGTCGTGCAGCTTTCGTTTTGACCGCACAACCACAGAGAGTCACGATGTGGTGCCCGTGCCTAAAGAGACAACACAAACACCACGGATCACTCCCGCAGGAGGCAAATGAGGAAGCAACAGCTTGGAAAACAAAAACACCAAAAGAAAAAGGCACCATAGGCCCACTCCAACAAGTCAGAAAAAGGAAAGAACCACATCTCAGCCCACCATGACTTGTCCCTTTGCGCAGCGATTAACTTGAGCAAGAAGACGCTTGCGAAAAAGAGAGACGAGGGGCTTGGAACGAGCCGGGACTGCCAGTTTGACTAGCGTAGCCCTAGCATCATCAAGGTAAATACGGGCGGTGGCTTGGTCTTTCCAACGTCCGCGGATCATGACGGCATCAAGCCCGTCCGTCTTGGTATAAAAGTAGGTAGCCCCTCCTCTTCTGATGCTGTACGGAACCAGCTGCAGGTGCTGCAGCTCAAAGAAAGCGCAAATTGCAGAGAAGCATTGGCGAAAATGCGTCCCTGAAAAAGGCCACAGAACTTCGTCCGCGCCAAAATGAGAAAGTAACCAGCGCAGCAGCTGGGACAACCGCAGGTCAAAATGAGCCAAACTTTGCTGGGCAGAAGGAGAGGTCTTCGACGCAGCCAGTCGTAGGATGATTGAGCCGTCATCCAGGTTGCAAAGGATATCACCGCTCCGCAGAGCCAACGTCTCTCCAGTCCGGAGGAAAAAGACAAAACTCAGAAGGAAAAGAGTCGCTAAACGAACCCATTTCAGATGTAGGCAGAGGCCAGTGAAAGCTTGGATCAAGGGCCAGGTAATGGGTGTGGCTCTTCTTGGTGTATGCTCACGACACCAGTTATTGTACCACTGTTGAGAGATTGCCAGCTCCTTTCTTACCCGCGGGTAGAGGCGCTTGATCCCACTAAGCACCCAGCCGGCTTTTGTCAAAGAGTCCCCTTCCTGAAACAAGTGGTTGATGTACTCGGCCAAGAGTTGATCCAGCCGTACGTACGATCGCGGGAGGCCAAAGCCTTCCAAATCCAAAAACCGAAAGAAAAGTGAAACTTCTCGCCTATAAATGCCCAAAGTTCTTCGTGAGATGCCCGCTGTTTTCAAGTGCTGCTTGCGAGTCATGATCCCTCATGGAGGCGACTCGGACGATCAGCTTCGTTCCATTTGCTAATCGTCCAGAGGTGAATCGGCAAAGTGCCGCTCATAAGGGCCAGGGCATTCACTCTACGAAGAAGGCGGTTGAGGCGAGGTGAACTTGATCGCCCCTTTGTGAGGCAGTGGAACGTCACCTGAGAATCGGTGATATTGAAGTAGCGGCATCCCAGTTGAGCACGCTGCCTTGTTCGACGTCTGAACTCCACCAGGAACGCCGAGACCTCCAGAATGTTGATGTGTTGATGCTGCCGCCAAGCAAAGGCCAACTTCACCTTCCAATCCCACTTGAAAGCAGGATAAGGCGACATCATGCTTTGACTGCCGTCTTCAGCTGACGACAACAGCTTCACGTCAGTGCCACGCAAGCAGACATGGCGCAGCATCGTTTTCAGGTGCTCCTTCTCCTTGCCAGGAACCATTGTGCGGATCACCTCCAAGACCCGCATGGCTGCACGCGACGCAATCACAGGGTTCTGAAGCCCACGAGTTGAGGATCTCAGGGCCGCCATAATCTCACCTTCCTCGTCAAACACGCCCGCAGACGGAGACGGGGACAGCAGTTGCAGTTGGGATTTGAGAGCTTGCGCATAAACCCGGCACATGCGCCATGGGTACTCAGCCTCGGCCGTGGTATCGAATTGCAGGCCCCCTTGCACCTCATGAACTTCATACGGCAGGAGGCCCGGGTGTCCGCCACAGTCGGGCTTGTGCAGAGCCCTGTGCAGCTCTGGAATGTTGTGGACCAGTGCTGTCCATTTGGTGCGCTGTCCTCCAAAGCAGCACTGGCTGAAGCAGGTGACGAAGAAGCCCGGCAGAGCACAGATCTCCATCGCTTCAGGTGTTGACCAAAAAATTGATGACCATGGGTGCTCCACTGAAGCAAACCGCCCCCTTTCATGGGCGTCACGTAGTCCCTGCAGGGAGCGCCGTCCCATTGCATTCCCTTGCCTGACCTTCACTTGGTTGTCTGGGGACAAGTTAGGCAGCCCCCAAGGCATTTCATGGCTCCTCAGGGCCGGTGGTCCTTGGAGGTAGCGTCCTGATGTAGTCCAGAAAGGTCTGCCTCTGGCTGAAGAGTATGTCTTACATTCGGGCGCCCAATGCGATGCAGACAGATGGCTGTCATCCTCCAAACCTTCCAAGCACTCCTTGCCAGCCGGGGAAAAGAAATCCCAGTTGCCATCTCTCAGTTTGTCGAGCGGTGGCTGGACAAAAATGCCCTCAAGGGCTACTGCTTCGGTAAGGGGACAATTCGGTCCGGAGAACCTTTCACCAAATGTAGCTCGCCCCAACATTTCCCGCCCGCAGGCGTGTCGATGGGCAGCAATGCAGTCCACACAGCAACCGAACACGCCACAGCCATTCGGACAGGGGTAGCCGACGGTAGGGTCGCTGCCCATCTCTCCTTGGCATTGACCACACTTGCCCTCGAACTGCAGTTTCTCGGGAACTCCGGGACAGTCCTTCACAAACGCAGTGGCGGTACAACTACCTCCCCCCGTCGGCGATGCATCTGTGCATGACACCTCGGTGGACAACTTTGCTCTGAGGTTTGTTTGGCTCAGCGGCGATTGAATGCACAGGACCATGATCTCGTCTGCTACAGCAAGAGTCGGGTTTACATCGTTCCACTTGGAGGCCTCGATCAGGTTGAAAATGTTGCCCATGCCTGAGAAAAGCGACCGCTTGAAGGTTGCCAGGAAAGCCGTTTTCCCTGTCCAGTGCCGCAGCTGAAATTCATTCCATGATCGGCGGGCCAAAAGAGCGAGGCTGAGCTGGATGTAGTTGCGCAGCTTGTCCGAGCCCAACTTTAAGACGCCCCTCATGCCGTCAAATTCACCACCTTGCATTCCGCCTGCAAAAGCATGGATCAGCTGCTTGCTCTCGTTGCGGGGCAATCCCGCCTCGTCGCATGCCGCATTGAAGCGCTGGTGGTAATCGGACATGTCAGTGCCCTCCTTGTGAATCTCCAGGTCAACCTTCTTGATGATCTCAATCTCATCAAAATTGTCCAGGTAGACCACCGCAAAACTCTTGCCCTCAGGCAGTGGTCGGTGCTTTTCTGTGGAGATGGTTCGAGGTACCCCGGCGCGCCGGAAAACCACATCACGCACCGCTTCTTGAACCAGTCCCACTGCGGAATGCCAGCCCATTGGGATCACGCACAGGGCTGGCCTGACCATAGTGCCCGCAGGGAGGCCCATCGCCGCCCCGTCCACCTTCTTGCTGTAACTGAAAAAGGGCAGCCATCTGTCCGGGACAGAGAACAGGTTGAACGCCGACTGCAGGTCTTCACTCTCCAGGTACAGGGCTTCATCTTCTTCCAGCATGAGTCCAGTGATTTGACCAATGTAGGGCAACGTATCCTGTGCCCCCACCAGAGGGGTCGTCACTGCATTGATCGGGCAAAGGATTGAGATAAACCGCTGTGCGGCAATTGTCTTGCCGTCAACCACCTTTTCCTTGAAGACAGCCCCAGCACCATTTGTAATGAGGTGCCCAGACCTGTCCCGCGGGACATCTGCATCGTTGACGGGACGCATCATGCCACGCTCCCACGCCGCTTGAACGATCTTGAACCATTCAGCGTCACTGGCTCTGACCCGCGAGCGTGGAGCGTTTGAGGGCATTCTCTCCCGCGGGAGGAGCAGCTTGTGGGGGTCTTGAAACGCTGCAAGGGTCTCAGGGGTCAGAAAGGCTTCAATGGACTGCACGCCGGCCTGACCCCTCCTCGGCCATGCCATGACCACTTTGTCGCACACCAGGTCCTCCATGTATTCCACGGGTCGCCCGGCATAGTCATACTTCTTTGAGGAGAGAAGGCGATCACAGTCCGCAAAGGGCAATAGTGTGTCAGCAGACAGGATGTTGGAATCAACCACGCCAGCTAACTCTGTGATTGCCGCCTTTTGACACAACGACAACGCGTCTGGCACCGGCACACAGATCGGTTTTGCCCAGCCAGTGCAATACTGGAAGTCAATCACAGCCACCAAAGCCTTCACCCAATCGATGTTGTTGTCGGTGACACCTTCGATCTTGGTTGTGATCCGCCACATCGGTATAGGGAGGAGATCACCATGCCCATCGGCCTTTGAGCCTTCCCCCGCGGTGGAGGGTTGTGCGGTCAAACAGTATGAACGGACGAAATTGCCCAAGGGGGTAGGCATGGTTGACAACAGCTCCAGCAGGTGCCTTCCCAAATCGGTGAAGGTGGCGCGGACCTTGAAAAGGTCCCTGACGTATCCCGACCAGTCACTAAGGTTATCGGCCAACCTGAGATTCAGCTTGAGCAGATTTGGAGGGCATCCCTCAGCGTCATCAGAGAGCTCCGAGGGTACTTCCGGGGAGACCTTGTCCAAGTGTTCAAGCTCGCCCGCGGGCGGGTGCTTATGAGCACGAGGCTTTGCAACTGGGCTCCTTGGCCTTTTGACAGTTGCCTTGGCCGCAGCCAGACTTTTAACCCTTATAAGAGGGCAGGGCTAGCCGTCATGCGACTGGGGGTTTCTCCGACTCCTGTTGGTGAGTCCAGCTGTTCACCGGGCCGCGGCCCTTCTTCCCCCTGCCCTTTCCTTTTGATTTCCCCTTTTCGTCTCCTTTTCCGTCCCCCTTGTGGGGAGCTCTCCACTGCGGAGTGCCGATGGTCGCCCGCATCTTCTGCTCCACCGTCTGCTCCTTTGATGCCATCAGCATTTCGTCTTTTTCGACGAGTGACGCGCCCTCGGGCGGAATCAACTCCAAGAACTGAGCCCTCGACCATGTCTGGTCAGCCAGGAAGAGTTCGAGTGCCTTGTATCTCTGTGCTAGCACGTCCCCCGCTCGATCTGAACGGCCTTGCGCCAGGAGATCCAGTGCCTTTGCCGTCGTCCGCAGCTCCCTGCTTGTCCTCAACGTCAAGCGGTCCTTGTACTGCGGCAGGAGGACCGTCAGGAAGTAAGAGCTGGCTGCCGACGGTGTCAGATTTGTCGCTGTGCCCCGGTTCATGGGGCCCTCCTCTCGGGCTAGAATGTCCCTCATCTTCCGCAGGAGACGGGCTGTGAGGCGGCCCGGTGTTTTCTCTGCGTACTCCTGAAGCTGAAGATGCTTGGACGTGGTGGAGGGCCCCGCGCGAAAAACTTGCTCATCTTGCTGCCCAGTCTCATCCTCAGATGATGGGTCACCACTGCTCTTTCCATCATACCGGACACGCTGCCCAACACCATAGGGACCACGATCAACCTGGTTGTCCTTTTTGGTTTTCTTCTTCTTCTTTTCACGACTAGGCGATCGTGACCTCACCCGTTTCTTCTTGTCACCACGGTATGACTGTCCACGGTCACTTCCTGATGAATCCTCCCCGCAGGGACTCACACTCATCTTCTTTCCAAAATTTTCCAAACCAGAGGGGTTGATGCTTGGCCTTATCAGGCGACCTGCTTCGCTTGCGGTCACGGCTGCGTCGCTTTTGCTTGCTGTGAGATCTTTCACGTCTCTTACGTTTGCGCTTGCCGGCTGGTTCATCTTTGCGCCTGGCAGGTTCCCCGGCAGTCTGGCGCTTGAGATCCGCCAACCGGTGACGGACACCATCATCTTCGTCAGCCGCCAAGTCAGGGAGAGACTCTTGGTCTGACAAGCTCCAGTCCAAATCACCACGGCCGGCCTGCCCTGGCTTTGCCGGCTTCTTTTTACCACCCCGCGGGGCACCACCTGTCAGTTTTGTCACCTCGTCAGCGATGTCGTCCTTGGCAGGCGCCACCTTGAACCAAGGAACACGGAGGTTCACCAGATCACCAGCGTCCAAGGTACGGAAGTAGTCGGTGTGGAATTCCAGCTTCGGCTTCTTCTTGGTCTTGCTGCAATTGGCCTCGTCGGACACACAAAAATGAAGCCAGAATTTCCGGGACTCGTCCCTGCCACCGCCCTTTGTCAGCCACCAGTAAAGGTGATCGTCGCTGACAGCAATGAGCTTCGCGGCTGCCCAGATGCCGTCCTTTCTCCTCGGTTCTGGGCCGCTAACGCGCCAGACACCCTTGCCTTGTTCTCGGTGTCCTTCATCGTAAAGGGTGCACTCGAAGTACTCCCCGGTTCCCGGGTTGAAGTCCTGGAAGAAATCCGGGTTGTCCTTCAGATGGACCCAAAGCCCAGGCATTGAAGGCCACCCAGTGCTGGTCCACGGACCACAAGCCCACGGGCTGGGGCGGCCTCCAATGCCAGATCACTCCGGCCCGCGGGCCCCCACGCACTAACCAGCCCGCGGGCCCCAAATTTGAGCCGAAACTCAACAGCACATTGGGTCAAATACTCGTGCACTGCCTAGTGGCATGACACTCGTGGTAATATATACATGTGTATATATACATAATATTAGATATAGATATAGATATGATTTTATGACTCATTTCCCAAAAAAAACATTTTTTCTGGCTTAATTCACCGAACATAGCCTAAATAAAGCCAGTTGGGGATGATTCCCTTTACTAACAACAAAAAGTCTAGTGGTGTCACAGTAAGATCGCTACAATTCATCCAGATAGTACAGTATACAATCATCATTGAATTCCCCAGTCATGCAGGATGGCCCCCCCAGTTATAAGTTGGTTTAGATTCACCCCATTATATAACTATATAGTTATCTAGTTCGTGAAATATCTACCATAAACCAGAGTTCATTCAGCCACAAACTGTTCAACCAACGGTTCACGCTATCTGAAGGGGGCCCCGTCCTGTAGCGAATCCAATTCGGAAGGGCACCACTGTTGCGTTCGCAGTAGGGCCCGCGGGCGAGGCACCAGGAATTGCACACAGCAATATCCTTTGACAACCTGTCGAGGCAACAAATCGCCATTTAAGTCTCGTGATTCGATACTGCACAAGTAGAGTTGTGCCTATTGAAACCAGCATATTGGTGGTTGGACTATGTGTAGGCTGTATGTATATATATATATATTATGATTATATAGATATATATAATGCATCACTAACATAGTTGAATGTCTTAATCAACGAACTTTGCTATAAGGCCAGTCAATTTCCCAGTCCGGTGACTCCCAAAAAAACATCCAAATGGCCGCGAAATTTGCCGGATGATGAGATGATCATCCCCAATGCTGCTATAGCAATAGTCTGGGTAAATTATAATATTTCACTAACCTGAATTAAGGCCATTTGGGGATGATTTCCCTTACTAACCATGATTCCCAGTGAGGTCGCAGTGAGGTCGTTATAATTTACCCAGATTGGTGTTCTATAACCATACTCTAACCATGAATCCCCCATCAATATTCCGTTTATATCACATATATGTATGTATGTATATATATATACAATCTTTATATGTGTGCTGCTATAGCCATCAATCCAATATGGGTGGTGAATGGTAAATTTTGCTTTACCCGGCCTGGTAAACGTTTACAGTAACTAAGAGTTTGCGAAGTGGAACATCACCATCTTTAAAAGGTAAATATAGGTAAATCAACTATGAATGGGCCATTTTCTAACATTATATCTGGTTGGTGGTTGAGCCCTACCCCTCTGAAAAATGATGGACTTCGTCAGTCGGGATGATGATTCCATTCCCAACTGAATGGAAAGTCATAAAATTCCATGCTTCCAAACCACCAGCCAGACATTATCAACCATTACAAACTATTATCATCAACCATCATTATTGACCATTAACACCATTAACCATTGGTATTATTCCAAACCAACCAGATATATGGATAGTGTAAGCCGAAAAACATTCATCCAGAGAGCCAATCCCAGCCACCGCTAATCACCCGGATGAACTAATGAAGCCATGAGTTTTTATGAACCCGTGGAGGGTGTTTTACCTATGGCTTCCATAGCTACGTTAAATAACCAGAGGGTAACTATTATAAACAGTTATACATCATATATATATACATATCAATGGGTGATATAACTAAGTTGGTTTATAACTCCAATAACTATGGTTTAAAGGTGATATAAATCTATAGTTAATGGTGTTTATAAACCAATTTATAACTAAAGATGGTCAATGAGAATTTCAGGATCCTAAAATGGAGGTACTGAACTGCACCATATGTTTGACCACATAAATTGTGGGGATATTCCCTGAAATTTAGGCCTTTTTTTCCGGCCTTACATATGGTAGGTACCTCCAATCAATCGGTTCCTGAAATGGCCATTGACTGGTGTTTCACCTTCCTTGCTAAAATATAAGTCCTGTTTTGAGTAAACAACCCTACTTATGCCAGGATAATCTGGTTCATGACCTATTTATGAAGTGCCGACATGTAGACTCTCAATCAACCCATAGAATTTGCTACCTTTACCCTACTTGGTGGCTCATCCCACTTAGTAAGTGGGTTATAACCCCAGTTATAAATGGGATAAGTAGGGTTAATCCACTTATAACTGGGGTTATGACCCACTTACTAAGTGGGATGAGCCACCAAGTATTTCCAAGCTCCAAGGTAACTGCCTTTTCAGCGCACCTCTCTGGGTGGAGCAATTGAGCTCTGAAAGAGCCTCTTCCACAACCTGGCTCCCACTTTTCGGCTGGGTGGTGAATTACTTCGCCGTTTTTTTTTCCCAGGTTAGATAGTGGTTTGATATGTTTGGTTAGATAATGTTAGATAATGTTAGATATTGTTCATAAGTACCGTTTTTTCAGATTTTTTCCAGGTTAGATTTGGGTTTGGCGGAAAATATGGTATGACCCACCCCCAATTATGGCCATTCGAATCGGGATAACAATGATTGATCAATTGATGTTTGGTACCCTATTTTCAGACAAAGCCATATGAACTTCAATGGGAATGATCCTATGAAGGGCATTTCCCTGGGAAAAAATGGGGGAAATCATCGATTCGATCCCTTGCTGACCTTCACATCTTTCACAGCCATCTTAGATTGCTCCAAGATTGGAGGTTTCCTTACTGGTGCGTTTTACGTAGGGAATTTTCGGGAATGACCCATAATCACTAGTAGTAATATGTAATCATCATCCCAGCAACCCCCAGCAACCCATCCATTCCCTACGAAAAACGCACCAGCAAGTTTCAAGCTGGGGACTAACCATGATGAACCACGGACACAGGATCGGAGGTACATGACAAACACAAAAGATCTATGTCTGTGGGGCCGAAATGCTGGGAATCTGTACCCCAATGTTTGGGTGGAAGAGTGTCATAGGTGATGTGCCAAAGTGCTGGTGACCTGATGACGCCCAACAGTTTATCCACCAAATATTTATAGTCTATACTTGTCTATAGTCTATAGATATATCATGATATATCATGATATATCATGATATATCATGATATATCATGATATATCACTGCCAATCTTAGATACCCGGCAATGAACATGAAATTCTTAGCTGGTTAGAAAATATTCCTATTTATAGCAAAAGATTAAAGGATTGGTTGACCTCGATATATGAGTAGCGGACAAAAAAAAATGCTAAGTTTAATGCCATACACAAGTTCGGGTCGTCCCCTGTCGGTTGTGATGATTTCAGTACTCCCGGAGGTATCACACATGGGGTATCCGTAGAGGGTCGTCCCCTATCCGTTATGAAAGTTTTGTGAACCTCAGAAAGGCCAAGGCGAAGCAAGACTAAATTAGTATTGATATGGGTAAAACAATAATAAACCATCTCCCAAATCACCATTTTTATAGGTGGTATGTTTACCATTCCCAGTCACGGGTGGTTTATGGCATTGTTTTACCCACATTACAATAATATTTATTATTGGTTACTCATATGGCTGGGTAAATTATAATATTTCACTATACTGAATTAATTAAGGCCATTTGGGGATGATTCCCCTTATTAACCATGATTCCCAGTGAGGTCGCAGTGAGGTCGTTATAATTTACCCAGATATGGTAAATATGTTTTGATCGATCCCCACATCCCTGCAAAACCATTTAACGAAACCAAGAACTGTGACAAGACTGTGAATGGACAACCTTCGTCATCAATTGATATCAATTGAAGCCCCTCTTCACTGGTCAAGAGATGAACGCTGCTATATTCACAAGCCACTAGACCCTCCAGATACCTCCAAAAAAGATAAACAAATGGTAAAAGTACTCAAATCGTGGTATAAAGTACCATATTTGTAGGTACAAACGAAGGCTGCCTAGGTACTAGAACCCCCCTCCCACTTCCGCCTGGGAGAAGCAAAGTTGTCCCAAGTGTGGATGGAAGTGCCAAGATCCAAATAGTTGTGACCTAGGGCTTCGGGACCACCCTCTACCTTATTATCTTGTCGTTGGTGTCCCTTTGCTGAAACGAATGCAACCAATTTGACCAAAAAAAACGAAAGCACGTGCGCAATTGCATTCAACGCAGTCAAGAATGCATTTGAATACAGGATGGGCCCCAGGCCCCCCAGTTATGTTTGTTGCTTTAGATTCACCTCATGAATACTAGAGTCTATAGTTATCTAGTTCGCTATATCTACCATAAACCAGAGTTTTTTTTCAGCCACGAACTGTTCAACCAACGGTGAAAACGCTATCGCTCGCTCCACGACGTGGAGGCCCCCCATTGGAAACATTCCCACGATTCCCTCACAAAGCCGCCGGGCTAAGGTACAGGAAGGGAAAGGTGTCTACCTGTCGTTTTTAAAAGCTCCGAAAAAACTGGTCTGTGTTTGTTTTTTCCAGGAATTCATTAGTATATTAGTATATTAGTATATATATATATAATTATGTATATATATACTTTAACGTGTACCAAGACAAAGTTCATGATCATCCAATTCAGGGTTAAACAAAAAATGATTTTTGGTGGTGAAACCACGGCTTTCAATGGCAAAGGTGTGTGTTGGTATCGTTTTTTTCTGTAGATTTACGACAAAACGTTGACTGAAGATGATGAAATGCACTACTGTAGTCAGAATGTGGTAAACACAGCCATATAAACAATATAAACATCCATGTTTTTGCACCATAAGTGGTTGGTGAATACCATCCCCTACTCCTAGGTGAGTGTGGTGGATTCATTGAATCTTCGTCGATTCGGAATCTGCGGAGATCGATTTTTGGGTACCCAAAAATGGATGGTTTATAAGGGCAAATGAAATCCATCTACAAATGGATGATGGTAAGGGGTAGCCCTATTTTAGGAAACCCCATATGATGAATTTGGACATATTTGGACCAAATGAGGCTTCAACAACCAACGGATCATCCAACGATCACCTTCCCGCACCTGCAACGTTCCTCTGCGTGCGGCAGATACCACCTCGCTCCAAAATATTTGCGACTCTGCAAGTACCCATAAGATGATTAAGATGAAACTTGACCCAATAATTTGAATGTGTACTGTGAGGCCCCCAAGATAGCTAAGTTGGTGCAAATAACTCCAATAACTATGGTTTATGGTACTTATAACTATAGTTACTGGGGCTTATAAACCAACTTATAACTGGGGGGCCTCACATTGTAAAAACCCATGTTTTCGGGTACTTGGAGGGTCAGGCGTGGGTATTCAAACATGGCTACCCAGGATCTCTCTTGTAAATGAAGGTATGGTTCGCTGCGAAAATCATGTTTACAGCCATGGAGTGCGGTGACTAAGGGTATGATTGCCCCATAAGTTGGGATATGGGGCCGCTGTAACTATGGTGAAACAAAAAGCCGTTCTGAGCTTTTTCATGCATCTGCAAACAAGTCCCCGAAACATGGCCCGCGGCACCAATGGCGTTTGTGTACCAGTCTAAGAGGTTCATACAACTTCTTACTGGTGCCTAGTAGGAAATGGATGGGAAGGGGGGTCATTCATAGTACGTTATTGTGGATCATTCCCGAAAATTCCCTACTAAGCACCAGTAAGAAGAGATTCATAGAACTTTCACAAAGGCCAAGCGAAGAGCGTTCAAAACCCGACACGTCGTCGATACGGGTCGGTCCACAGGATTTACCAGCTCATGGACTATGATAATCCCAACAATTATTTACAGGATAGTTTAATAACCCCGGAACGATTCTATCAATCATAGGTTAATCAACAATTATAGGAAATCAATATTTGGCTGATCATATACTGGATCTCTAGGTCAATCAACAATCATCTATCATTTTTTTTTTTTTATATCCCCCTTAACTGTTTGGTGTCAAAATACTTCACCTTGACCCTAAGCCCAAATAAAAAACAGTAAACATGAAACACACATTGCTTTAAATACTACTATTACATATTTTTTACACAAGTTTACATACTTCACTTTAATCATTAGTACTTCTGCACATCATCATTTTAGTACTTTACAAGGTGGTGCCCCATAGTTAGCTAAGTTGGTTTATAAGTCCAATAACTAGGGTTTATGGGGGTTATATCTATAGTTAATGGGATTATAAACCAATTTATAACTATGGGGGCACCACCTTGTACCTACTTTGACCCATCCTTTAGTGGGTTCACGTCCCTGAAAATTCCCCACCTCCTCAAGAAGTCGAAAAGGGTGGACATGTTCTGGTGCATCCGCATGCAGGAAGAAGGTCCAAGCCTTAGTTTGTGGTGCCCCTGGTGCCCCCGTGGCCACGAGATTTCGCGAAGTTTGGTGAACATAACTATGGGTGAACGGTTAAAAGTTGGGTTTCTGGATGTTGATGGGGAATGTAATAGTAGTGAACTGTGTTTATAAATAGAAACCAACATAAACCAACGTATAACTGGGGTCCCGACCTGTTTTTAAGAGATTTCCAGATCCCCTGAAACTTGTGGGTGTTTGCCCATACTTGGAGTTTATAAACCAATCTACAAGATCGGACAGGGGGCACCATCTCGTACTGAATTTTTAAGACCCAGGGGACGGCAGATTTGGTCAAATTTAGGATCTAGAATCAAGAATCTAAATATTGAGGTAGTACCCAACAAATAAGACCTTATCTGGCTGGTGGTATACCTACCCCTCTGAAAAATATGAGTTTGTCAGTTGGGATTATTATTCCCAATATATGGAAAAATAAAAGTCATGTTCCAAACCACTAACCAGTTATGTGTTGGGGGTCTTAAGCTCTGTCAACCCCAACATTGAGGGGCTGATTAAACCACTGCTGTTGCCGCGGCATCCACAAACTACTTACACCGATCCTGCTTGGGTTGGTTCTTTTGATGAACAAGCAAACATCGTGAATCAAACAGTTATTCCTATAGTATTAAAGAAAAATATGAATCGAATTACTTAATTTAGTCATAGGCAATCAACATAAGCAGTAAATAACCATGACAAGTTAGACACAAACGTTTTCCGGTGTTCAAAAAAATTGAGGGTTGCATGTAGGCGGTGATTGATTCCAAAGATTATTTATTACTTTGACCGGGCGCCAGTGTTAGGACAGCGGTTCGGCCCCGAAGCTAGGATTTCAATTTTTGTTCCTGTTCATCTTAAGTATTCCCCAAACACAAAAGATTTCCTAACCATCTGGCTGATTTTCATCATATTTCATCAAGCAAACCATATGTGCCATGGTCAAGTTACATGATGTATTAAATATATATATATGTATATTGTATGTGGCTTCTGGCCATCCATTCCATGATAAGGGGTTTATATCAATTGCCTTTTCTAGATTTACCAAGTACCTAAACTGGAGCTACTGTACCATGTGAAGCCATATTTTGGGGGTGCATCCCCTTATATAGCCTTTACATGGACCTTATCGAAGGAAATTTGGAAGTCAAACATCCGACATGGACAAATGGCAAAGCAGAGGTGGGAAGACAGAGAAGAGAAACTGGTTGGTGGTATACCTACCCCTCTGAAAAATATGAGTTCGTCATGTTCCAAACCACCAACCAGATATCTACCATAAACCATAGAATTCAGCCAGTTATAAACCAACTTGGCTATCTTGGGGGCCCCATCCTGCAATGATCTGTATTACCCTCTGGTAAACTAACATAACTATGGATAATCACCATTTTTTATGGGAAAACTCACTATACATGGCCATTTTCAATAGCTATGTTAAATTACCAGAGGGTAACATAGCTGTAAAAAAAATCACCAGTTTCAGGTAAATCATCGAAGTAAATGGGCAATGTTCAATAGCGAACTGTGACAAAAATCACTGGGGGTATAACCCATTTACCAAGTGGTAAATCCCCCTTTTCGCATGGCATCCCAGCGGCCCCTTTTCCCAGCTCAGGCTTGGACGGCCAAGTCTTGGTACTTGGGCCCACTTAGGTGATGTAAATAGGCTGTGGCCTTGGGGAAAGAATTGCGGTTTTGAAGAGACAACGCTTGTAAAGCATGTGCATATCATATTTATTCATATGCATGAATATATATATATACATGCATATAAAATATACATGTACGTATATATGCATATATAAATGCATATATAATATACATGTACGTATATATATATACATAAATACTTACGTATGTATATGTATATATATAAATACTTACGTATGTATATATCTATATATATATAAATATTTACCATATTATATAGTGATCACACTTTTGGTCATTTTTATCGGCAAGGACTAAATGTCCATGGAATTTAGCGCAATGCCGCAACGACGTTGTTACCACACTCAGGAGTCAAAAAAATGGGGATACATAATTATGATGAATGTATATATATATATATTTAAACATATACATATATAGTGTGCGTGTATGATATGTATACATATATAAATATGATATGTATCCATATATAAATAATTAGTAATATATATATATTCATTATTATGTGGCCAATACAAGAATAAATTTTAATAAACCATCCCCCATTGGTGGTTCCTTTTTCAGAAAGCACACGATTGGATGATTGGCTCATCCGACCTGGCTTCACATTGTTTTTTTCAGCTAAAGGAAGGTGGCTAGGCATAACATGCCATATATCCCAACTATTACCCTCTGGTAAACTAACATAGCTATGGAAAACTGGCCCATTTATAGTTGATTTTCCCATAAAAAAAGGTAATTTTCCATAGCTATGTTAGTTTACCAGAGGGTATCCCAACTATTATGTAAAAGTTATAAGTGGAGATAGTTCACCATAGTTATGGTGCTTATATACGTTATATTCCAACTTATATCTGGATCATGTCATGAACATCATCTGGAATCAGATTGGTATACCATTCAACATCATCATCATCATCATCATCATCCATTAATAACCACTGATAACCATTAATATCCATTAACAAACATTAGTAATAGTAATAATAATCATCATCATCATCAACCTGAAATCAGGCAAATTATAGGAATTCACTAACCTGAAATCAGGCTATTATTCCACATGATTTCCCGAATCCAAAGCATAGTTCCGTCGCAGTAAGGTCGTTATAATTTACCCTCTATGGTTTATGGTCATCCATTCGATGGTGTTTTTATATGGGTTTATCGATTCCTCTTTACGAACATGCATTGATTATCATTGATTATTTCAAATTATTTCCATTTTCCACAGACTGGTTTACCATTCAACATCACCATGCGCTGAAAAGAGTTGTGAATATTTCTTTGGCCTGGTCCGAATTGCGGTAAGCCTCGCATTCTTCCGTACATTCTCCGTGTTTTCGGTCAATCACAATAGGCTTTGTCTCAAAATGGGCCCCAAAACCTACAGGATGGGCCCCCCCAGTTATAAGTTGGTTTATAAACCACATTAACTGTTTAACTATAGATATCTAGTTCGTTATATCTACCATAAACCAGAGTTAATTCAGCAACAAACATAAACCAACGGTTCACGCTATCTGAAGGGGCTCCCATCCTCTAGGAATCTGTGATTGTCACTTTCAATATTAGAACCGGTAAGTCAGCCTGACTGGAGTGTTAAAAAAACCCATTGTTAAATAACCATCAAAAAATAACTGGTATATAAAGGGCTGTAACTGTAAGTCAATCATCCTATTCCCAACACAGCCATTTCGGGGAAGGTCAGTCACTGTATGTCACCGTCACCTTGATATGGTGCCGTTAACCATGGCTATGCCCTTTGTAACGGTTTATGGTGAAAATAACTATACAAGCTGGTGACCCGTAGATAGCAGCTTTTTGGCTGAGTTGGTGAACATAATTCCAATGATTGGTTTTATGGTTTCGACAAAGCGAAGTAGTCAATGGGGGTTTAGTTACCCTCTGGTAATTTAACAGTTCGCTATTGAAAATGGCCCATAGAAATAGTGAGTTTTCCCAAACAAAAATGTGATTTTCCATAGTTTTTTGTATGTTTACCAGAGGGTAATACAGATCATTGCAGGATGGGGCCCCCAAGATAGCCAAGTTGGTTTATAAGTTGCTGAATTCTATGGTTTATGGTAGATATCTGGTTGGTGGTTTGGAACATGGCTTTTATTTTTCATATATTGGTAATAATCCTCCCAACTGACTGTCATATTTTTCAGAGGGGTAGGTATACCACCAACCAGCCATTTATATGTGGAAAAAACAATGAGATTAATGGAATATCCCTTATTGTGGGATGAAATATGGGTTATATAGTTATATGTGGATTATAAGCCATGGATATCATTTGTGGGACATCCATGTGGTCAAGTGCTTGTTGGATTGTATATCCAGTCCGTGGGAGATGGAATATCCCTTCACCGGGGCACCAGCGTTCACCGTTTCACCAGGCGGCATCGTCAGCCCTCAGGGCATCATCTACACGATGAACCTCCACCACCTAAGGATCCGACCAGGGCTGAGGATTATCTTAGAAGCACAAACAATAATGTGATTTTAATGGAATATATAGTGATTTAATGGAATTTATAGTGATTTGATGGGATTTATAGTGATTCAATGGGATATGAATGGGATATACCCTCTGGTAAACATACAAAAAACTATGGAAAGTCACTATTTTTACTGGGTAAATCCGCTATTTCTATCTATTTCTATGGTCATTTTCAATAGCTATGTTTGTTTACCAGAGGGTAATGTGGTGAAAACAATAATAAACCATCCCCACAATCAACATAAATAGGTGGTATAAACAATTACCAAATGAATGGTTTATTATTGCTTTAACCACGTTAATAAGACTTCACCATGTTTTCACAACAAGAAGATGTTGTTGTATGTAGTGATATAACCATAATTTTCATTATATAACCCATGAAGTCTGCACCATAACTGTCTAATTATACACTTGTTAAGCAACACACATAGAGTCTTCACCATATATAAGGCCTATATAAGGCCTAATTTCAGGGGATATACACTCAAAATATGGGCAGAAATATGGTACTAACGTACCTTCATTTTAGGATCCTGAAATTCCCATTGACCATCTTGAAATTAACCCATGAACCTTGGTGGATTAAGCAACAAACATGGGGATTTTTTCACCTGACCGTGACAGCAGATTTTGAAGGCAGCGGCCTTCAATCCCATCTCCAACGTGTGCTCGGATGGAAACATCTTGAAACTTGAAACCAGCCAGCGAAAACGTATGGTTCAAAATTGGTTATCCTAATTATTGGATGGCTAATCTAAAGATGGCACTAAAATCTGTGGTCCCCCAGGTCTTTAATTTTGACCCATACCCGTATTGCTAAATCCCCATCATGTTTGATAGTTGTTTTTCTTCTGCCCCCTCACATGGTGAGTACACCATGAACTGCAACTTCTGGAAACGTCCCAGCCCTAGTTTTCGAGGCGCATGAGCATAAGGAAGCAGGGCGGCACGTAAAGACTCCTCCACCGTGTTGGAACCCATGAGTTCTCCACCAAAAGATATACATACATATTTATATACACATGAAGAGATGTATACATATAATTAACATTATTCATGTATATATGTATTATATATATGAGTGGTGGACAAAATTATTTGCTACTCACAATGGACATGGCCAAAGTGGGTTGTTCCGTATCGGTTGTGAAGGTTTGTACTTCCATGTTATGTGTGAAAATAGGGTATCGGCAAGTGGGTAGTCACCTACTGTATCGGCTGTGAAGGTTTTGGCACAAATTTGAACATCCCAAGTCCACCCCTTATTGTTTTTATCTTTAGCTAATTTTGTCAGTTACTCATATATCATATATATATATACATACATGCATATCTATACAAATATAAAAATCGACAAGTATGTAACTTTGTCCATAACAGGCGATATAGACTGAGTTGTTTCTGGTTCCAGCCCGCAACAGCATTGTAGGGTTCATCATTGGAGGGTCCGATCATAACAACACATCGTAAGCATACATGTACCTACTGGCTGGTTCATTATACAGGAATTGGACAGTATGTTTGCTGAAGAACCATAAACGTATATAAACGTTTGGCCTGCCATACTGATAAAATCTCACTAATGTGGGTAAAACAATAATAAACCACCCATTTGGGAATTGTTGGTGATTTGGGGGATGGTTTATTATCGTTTTACCCACATTACAAGGGATGCTGCACCTATGGATCAGCCAGCTGACGTCGGCCTCTAAACATCTTTGCGTTCACGGTAGTTGAGGGGTAAGCTTTGGTTGTCCCCACCAACCCGCATTTTAAGGCATTCTATCTGGCATTCTTTCTGACAAAGATTTTGGCATTGCATCTGGCATTCTATCTGACACCATACATTCTGCGACATTCTATATATTCTATCTGAATCTATCTGACATATGTTCTGACAGGCTGTCTTATCTGACATTCTAGCCGACATCTCTTCTGATTCTGACATATATACATTCCGAAATTGTATCATCATCATTCTATCTGATAAATATATTCAATAAATTCTGGCCAATTATGTCTGGTAAATATGAAAAGACAAACTTTCAGACATTTCATCTGACCTTTTCAAATTGTCTATCTGATATTCTGAAAATCTGCAGGCCTGACAGAACTGATATATGGACTCCAGGTCCTGCAGCGAAGAAAGTTGCACTGTGTTCTGGGAAGTGCCACAAGGCGTCAACGATAAACTCACGACGCTAACTCTAAAAGGATAGCTATAATATTATATATAGTAAATAATGTCTGAAACACAACTGAATATATATATATGGGGATGTATCAATACCTACAAATACATTTTTTGGGGGATGAACATCCATAAATCCCAGCTATTTTAGGGTTCACTAGGGGTACAAGGGTTTTGACTCATACCCATATGTATTATAAAATGTCTGATGGCGATGATGGCGTTTGTCTTCCTTGTTGAAACTGGAATCCAGTCGACTGGGATGTCCGCAAAAACCGGCTTAAGCGAGCTTGCTGTCAGCTTGTCGAGGGGCAGAGTTACAGCCATTTACCAGTTATAAATCGTGAACAATGGTTATAAAATGTTATAAATGGGGTTATGCATTCCATAAATGAATAGGGAGTTGGAACTGACTTATACGACCTGGTAAAGGGGCCATAATTGCAGACGAGGAGGAAGGAGGAGGAATGAGCAGGCTTTAAAAGAATCTAGAGACCCTCAACCGTAACAGAATCTGACCGTAACAGAACATTTTTGAGCTATGTATAACACATTGCTTCCAACCCCCAAGTTTAACAGGTTCGTTGTGGTACCTTTTTTTTACTTTTTACCCTGCAAAAACTGATTCTAGAAATGTAGGGGTCCTAAAATGGGGGTACCCCAAACCAAACCATCCAAAATTAGACAATTTTTGTATTGAAACATATTGGAACCCATTGTTTTGGGGATCCCACATTTTAAGAAACCCCTAAATGTATAAGATATAGCAATTTTATTAGAGTTCATAAATGATAGACATAAGATAACAGAAGTATCGTACGGAGGTCCACGACTTCACCACACAAATATCAGGGGCGGATGAACAGACCCTGAAAAGACTATGAGAACACCCCCCAACAAAAAAATGGGAACAGTGATGACAAATTACACAGCATTTGTTGCATGGCTTTCCAATCTTGTCCCGGGATTTTTCACGTTTTTTGTTTTAAACGGTTCCATTGGTTCCATGTTTTCACGGTTCTCATCAGAATCCTTCCAGATCCGGTCAGAATTCATAGAGGTTTCCTAGGGATACCCATCCAGTTATCATCCATTTTAGATTGGGATTTTCCAGCAAATAACCATCCAGATCCATCCAGCGAACTTGGGGTATGTACCCCCAAAAAGAACCCCCCAAATGGCCACAGTCGTGGTCTGTATCCAAATAGCATGCAGTTGAATTGCAACATTTGTCCAGTCTGAGGGATGAAAACATCTAGCGGACCCAGTAGTCAGGGATACGTGAGGGCACCATAGGGCATCTAGAGCTATGATAGTCATTTACCATCATTTACCAGTAAACTGAGCATCTTCCAACCACACTAAGTTTAACGGGTTCTTTGTTGTGACCAGCCAGTTGAATAAAATATGGGTTCTTCACTGATATAAACCCAAATTTAATTAACCGTGTCCCTGGTTTACAATCTGCCCTTGTAACTTGTTCAGATTTGTTTAGAGTCTTTTTCATGCTGAATCTGAAAGATACCTGCCAAAAAAGTCTAATTTCTAGCTGGTGAATGGACTAATTTACTGCAATAGATAACAAGTTCTACAAACGCTCGTATCTAGCCAGTCGGTCCCAGGTTTGATGGGATGAAACACAGTTTTTCACACCGTGAAATTCTTTAGCGCGGCCCAACCCGATGCGGACATTCCTCAAAGCCTTCTGGAGCTGCATCGCCACATTTCTCTTTCACCTCAGATGACTCAGATGCTTTCAGCTTCGATAGCATCGCGAGAATCTTCGCGAGATCGAACCGTCTGAACGGAACTTCGAGGGCCACCGGATATGGATGATGGTCATCCTACCATGACTGGGATTCCTTACAATGGTCAATCTTTGGCCCATCTTTTGGTGATTTTCTTATTTTTCATATACAAACAACTAAAGGATTAGTTTCTACCCATCCGAGGCTGTGAATGAAACAATTACAGTAATGGTTTTCGGGAAAACTATTGAGAGCAATTGCAAGAACGGGTTATGTCGCTGTATTTTCCAGGTAAAAAACCATGGTGTGAGGGTAGAACATATTGAGAGCAATTGTAGGAACCCCCTAGGCCCTATGTTTTTATATCTTACAATTACAATACAATCTCCATCAATCTCCTAGATTTCTCTTGGATGTTGTAGTACCAAATCATGAAGATCACAATTTCTGAAAATGTTCCGTTCAATGGGCAAAGCATGGAACTGAATGGATAAACACGGACAATTCCAGAGCCATGTTTTTCATTACGACAGGGGATACAGTCCAATACAGTCCATAAGGTCCCATAAGGTCCATAAATTCCCAGGCCTCACAAAGGCGGCCTAAAATCATCACAAAGGCGATTTTGCTCCCTTCTATCGCAATATCACATCTTCATCCATGAGATTCCGTTTCACGAATTTTTGGGAGAGTTTCCAATTGTATCCAGACGTGGGGTTGTGAACAGATTTGCCCAATGACATGGGGGTGACATCCCATGTTACCCTCTGGTAATGACTGACACTTCGCTATTGAAAATGGCCCAAGTCGAAATCCTGGATAAAAGCCCATGAAAAATGGTGATTTCCCCATGATTCTCCATGGTTTTTTGTATGACCAGAGGCTACCCTAACCACCAGGATCAAGATCCCAAACGGCCAACCACCCGACGACCCAATTTTTTGCTTGTTGAAGTTTCCAAGCTGAGGCTTGGATGATAAGTTGATGATAGTTCATACAACATCACTTGATGAACAACAAGGTTTCTGAGGGATATTCGACACTATAAGATGATTTTCGGGGATGGGTCAAAACCTATACATACCTATACTATCACCATATTTGAGGAATAAACATCCATGAATAATCCGGGTAACTAAATAAGCTTATATCCGGGTAACAAAACTAGATGTATTACATTCCATTATAAGATATAACAAAATCTAATCCATGCACCTGCTATGTTTTTTTAACCATCCCGGGTCCCAATTTTTTTTGACTTCGCCTTACCAAACAAACACATCGCCATCAAAACGTTCACCTCGCGGAAGGTTTTTCCCCACATCTTTGTGTGGGGTTCTTGTTTTTGATTCTGTATCCCGGGCTTCTCCTCCGCCTCCTCCTCCCGCCCGCCGCGTCACACCAACACACACACACACACACACCAACACACACACACACCAACACACACACACACACCAACACACACCAACACACACCAACACACACCAACACACACCAACACACACCAACACACACCACAACACACACACACACCAACACACACCAACACACACCAACACACACCAACACACACCAACACACACCAACACACACCAACACACACCAACACACACCAACACACACACACACACACACACACACACACACACCAACACACACACACACAACACACACACACACACAACACACACACACACACACACACACACACACAACAACACACAACAACACACACACAAACACACACACAACACACAACACACACACAACACACAGACGCACACCACACACACACACACAACAAAACACACACAACACACACACACACACAAACTCACATGTGCCACCGTCGTTTTTGCGTGGCAGGCGTGGCACTCATGGTACTGTGTGGCGCGCTTGGTCCGGATTTGTCGCCAGGGGCGCCGCGCCACTTTGCGTGGCAGGCGTGGCACTTGGTGACATTCACCTTGATATCACGTGGCAGGCGTGGCACTAACTCACATCCACCGTCGTTTTGCGTGGCAGGCGTGGCACTCATGGTACTGTGTGGCGCGCTTGGTCCGGATTTGTCGCCCGGGGCGCCGCGCCACTTTGCGTGGCAGGCGTGGCACTTGGTGACATTCACCTTCGTTTCACGTGGCAGGCGTGGCACAACTCACATCCACCGTCGTTTTGCGTGGCAGGCGTGGCACTCATGGTACTGTGTGGCGCGCTTGGTCCGGATTTGTCGCCCGGGGCGCCGCGCCACTTTGCGTGGCAGGCGTGGCACTTGGTGACATTCACCTTCGTTTCACGTGGCAGGCGTGGCACAAACTCACATCCACCGTCGTTTTGCGTGGCAGGCGTGGCACTCATGGTACTGTGTGGCGCGCTTGGTCCGGATTTGTCGCCCGGGGCGCCGCGCCACTTTGCGTGGCAGGCGTGGCACTTGGTGACATTCACCTTCGTTTCACGTGGCAGGCGTGGCACAAACTCACATCCACCGTCGTTTTGCGTGGCAGGCGTGGCACTCATGGTACTGTGTGGCGCGCTTGGTCCGGATTTGTCGCCCGGGGCGCCGCGCACTTTGCGTGGCAGGCGTGGCACTTGGTGACATTCACCTTCGTTTCACGTGGCAGGCGTGGCACAAACTCACATCCACCGTCGTTTTGCGTGGCAGGCGTGGCACTCATGGTACTGTGTGGCGCGCTTGGTCCGGATTTGTCGCCAGGGGCGCCGCGCCACTTTGCGTGGCAGGCGTGGCACTTGGTGACATTCACCTTGTTTATCGTGGCAGGCGTGGCACAAAACTCACATCCATCCACCGTCGTTTTGCGTGGCAGGTGTGGCACTCATGGTACTGTGTGGCGCGCTTGGTCCGGATTTTGTCGCCAGGGGCGCCGCGCCACTTTGCATGGCAGGCGTGGCACTTGGTGACATTCACCTTCGTTTCACGTGGCAGGCGTGGCACAAACTCACATCCCCCGTCGTTTTGCGTGGCAGGCGTGGGACAGATGGCCGCCGTGACGCCCGTGACGCCGCGCGACTTCTGCGTGGCAGGCGTGGTGCTTGGTGACATCATGTGACATCCACCTTCGTTTTGCGTGTCAGGCGTGCCACTTGGAGACATGCACCTTCCTTTTGTCACACACCATCTTTTACACACCATCTTTGACACACCATCTTTGACACACCATCTTTCACACCACTTTGTCACACACCATCTCTCACACACCGTCACAGACCATCTTTCACACACCATCTTTCACACACCGACTTTGTCACACGCCATCTTTCACACACAACTTTGTCACGCACCAACTTTGTCACACACCATCTTTCACACACCAACTTTGTCACACACCATCTTTCACACACCTCTTTGTCACACCCCACCTTTCATACACCATCTTTCACACATCACATTGTCACACACCATCTTTCACACACCACTTTGTCACATACCATCTTTGACACACCGCTTTGTCACACACTACTTTGTCACACCCCACCTTTCATACACCATCTTTCACACACCACTTTGTCACACACCATCTTTCACACACCACTTTGTCACATACCATCTTTCACACACCACTTTGTCACACACCATCTTTCACACACCACTTTGTCACATACCATCTTTGACACACCGCTTTGTCACACACCACTTTGTCACACACCATCTTTCACACACCATCTTCCACACACCACTTTGTCACACGCCATCTTTCACACACCGTCACAGACCATCTTTTCACACCATCTTTCACACACCATCTTTCACACAACACTTTGTCTCGCACCATCTTTCACCACACCATCCTTCACACACCACTTTGTCACACACCATCTTTCACCACACCATCTTTCACACACAACTTTGTCGCACGCTATCTTTCACCACACCATCTTTAACGCAACTTTGTCACACACACCATCTTTCGCCAAACCATCTTTCACACACCACTTTGTCACACACCATCTTTCCCACACAACTTTGTCACACGCCCTCTTTCACACACAACTTTCGCACACACCATCTTTCACACACCACTTTGTCACACACACTATCTTTCTTAGTCACACACCAGCTTTCACATACAACTTTGTCACACACAACTTTGTTTTACTTCTCGATCCTCCACCACCTCCTTTGTCTTTCCTTCCTTCCCCGTCCCCGCTACAACATTTGGTGCTTATTATTCAAAGAAGTTGTCTTGTGGGGTTATCCGGTCCTTTAATTTTTGTTTCGCTTCCCAGTTGCGAAGATCCGTGTGGAGCTGCGATAGTCGGCCTGAAAAAGGGATGGCCGTGGTTGAGATTTCACCTCACGATATAACTAGGTGGATGTATTGTATATATATATATATATACATACACATTCATAAACTATATACTAGAGTTATTTAAAAAAAAGAGGATATCTACCAGGTTACCAGACATTCATTCATAAACTATACTATAGTTATGTAATGATATATACTGTTATATACTGGACACTGTAAATGAACTTAGCTTTAGGGGCTCCACATTGTAGAGACTTGGATTACGTTTGGGTAAATGGTAAACAAATAATACATTATGGAGCCTGTGGGATAGGAATCATAGGTTGGCTTAAATGAGGATAGATGATATCTTGGAATCATCTGGAAAATATGTATAATCGTTGTTTAATCGTGTTCAATAGATTATCTACAACAAAACGATTTTCTTGTTGCTAGCCATATTTTGGCTTACCATACCTCTAACTAAAGTGGTGATTGGTGGGGTTGGTATTTGATTAAACATTAATATCTAAGATACTGTATGTTATTCCCCAGCTATTGCCAATAACTCCCAGATATGAATATGAAGCGGTATAATCCAGTTACAAACTGTTTGCCATGTTAATGTTCCATGGTCAAGCTACTTAAATGATGTTCCCATATTATCCCATATTGAGGGATAGGAAAAATCGATTCATCACTAGGAATTCAAAAATCTGACATGCTTAGATTTCCATTCCGAATCATTATGCCCTCGATTCCCAGTAAGGGACGGGTGACAGCAACCCAGTAATCCCATATATAATTTGAGAACATCTGCGGTATCTACCCTCTGGTAAACTAACATAACTATTGAAAATCACCATTTTCAATGGGTAAATCCTCTATAAATGGCCATTTTCAATAGCTATGTTAGTTTACCAGAGGGTATCTAAAAACCCTCCGGTAACGTGGCTGGCAAATCCCTAGCAACTGGGGCTATGTTTACAGTCAGACCGAGGCCCCAATGGTGGCCACCGTGGCCTGGCCAGTGATTTCCTAACAAAAATGCCCAGTTAAGGTGGTGCCCCCCCAAGTGAAATAAATGGGTTTTTTTATCCCATGAAAACTAGTTCGATATATCACCTATAAATAGTATATCACCTATAAACATTAATTATAGATACTGGTATTTTATTTCACCAACAAAAACCATAGTGACATTGGACTTATTGGCACCAACTGAACGCGATTCCGAACTGGGGCACCACCCGGCCAGTGGCCAGTGATTTCAGCTCCACACTGCTGGATTGGTGTAAACTTACTGACCGGACACATCGCCAGTGAAGATTCTTCGGGTAAATCTCCAATCCTGCTACAACATGCTTAAGCAAATCCTATGTTTATCGATATTGGCAAGGCAACACCTGGCAACATCCGATCCTTTTTGATTTTCATCATTTGAAACTACCATATATCAGAATATATGTTCGTAGCTTTCAGGAAGGTGACAGCAATCACATTTGGGGATTTCCTGAGAAATATATCTCAGTTTACTATCCTTAATGGTAATTTAACGTAGCCTCTTTTTTAAACTAACATAGCGAACTGGAAAAAACCACCATTGGACCATATATTTTTTTAATGGTAAATCCAGAAACATTGGACCTATAAACATACCAAAAACTATGGAAAGATCCACCATTTTCAATGGGTAAATCAACTATCAATGGGCCATTTTCCAAAAAGCTATGCTAGTCATTACCAGAGGCTAACGTAGCTATTATGTCGTAAACATTCCGTGAAAAATCCCCAGAAGACCTCTTGTTTTTTTATGGTTAAATCGATGGTTAAATCCACCATAAAACACCATAAAATGGATGTAAATAAGTCATTCATAAGTAAAATCTATTATTGCAATGCTAGCAAATTCTGATTTATTATGTAAATGCTACTAGAAATCTATTAATAAATTATGTAAATCTATTATTCATAAGTAAAATCCTACATTCGAATATTGTTGACAGAAAAAAAACACAAAAATCCATTCGATTTGAACGGGACCCAAGAATTCACCATATATAATTATATATATTATATTCAGAATATGTATATCTATATATATATAATCAACTATATTGCATTCAATATTCCATTGATTATATCCAGGCATATATAGATATATGACCCAAAAAACATCCTATACTTCAACAGAAGGACCGTAGATATCCATGGAATCCAGCCGGTCCGCCTGTGGCGCTAAAAGCTCGGCCAGCCAGCCCAATTCATCCTTTCCGCGGAGTTCCCCGGTCGGCTTCGACGCCAGGGATGGTCGGAGAACTCCAATAGCGATTGGGTTTATGGTAGATAGAGCATGATATCTACATATATATATGCGGTTATATACGTACAATGTGAGGCCCCCCAGTTATAAGTGGGTTTATAAGCCTCAATAACTATAGTTATAAGTACCATAAACCATATTTATTGGAGTTATAAACCAACTTAGCTATCTTGGGGGCCTCACATTGTGTATGTATATATATATACACCCTTTGACCCTCCAAATAGCTCGAATGGCAAACATTGGCAAACGTTCTACAATGATGTTGTAAAACACCATTTTCATGGCTACTCGCAGTGTCTAGGTCAGTCTAGGTCAGTCTATATATAGACCTACCCCACTGGCTCTCTGATTTTCATGGTGATTTCTTCATAGCAACGGGAGGATAGGTGTGTCGCTTTATAAACCCTTGAACTACTGTGGATGGTTGCGAAATCCTGCACTACCAAAAGGATGGTTGAAACCCTATAAATAATGGGATAAACCATCTATCCAATGGTGCTGGATTTCTTCCATCCACAGTAGTTCAATAATATATATATATATATAGCATACAATCATCGACATCGGTTGAAAAATTGACCTTGAGCTCCATGATTTATAGCTTTCAAATGGTACCTCAACAAAAATAGGCCAACGGCCAACTGGTTGAGGGGTGTCCCAGTGGATTATGATCCAAAAATAGCCAGAATACATTGGGTACATGGTCAATCTGTGGTAATCCACAACAAATTCTCATCTGGTTGGTGGTATACCTGCCCCTCTGAAAAATGATGGAGTTCGTCAGTTGGGATGATGACATTCCCAACTGACTGGAAAGTCATAAAATTCATGTTCCAAACCACCAATCAGTCATATTTTTTTGCTAGTTGGGTATGGATCAATACCTATTATATAATACCATTTTTAGTGGGGTGAACATCCATTTACCAGCTATTTTGATGTTCACCAGGGGTACAAGGTTTTGACACACTGCCAGTTATAGCAAAAAACCTAAAGGATTGAAAATTTGTTGAACTACCTATCCACTGGTAAACGTTTACAAAAAACTATGGAAAGATCCACCATGCTATTAATGGGTCCACTATTTCAATGGCCATGTTCAATAGCTATGTTAAATTACCAGAGGATATACACTTGGTTGAGGATGGGTAATATCTCATACAATCATCAACCAGCAGGGGTTTTGAACGCTGGTCACACTGGTCAACGGTTTTTTCGCTGGACTTCACCATCACTAACCGGCTTGGGAAAATTCCCTCTGGGAATGACCCACATAGCTATGGAAAATCCCAATCTTTACCCTCCAGTAAATTAACATAGACCCTGGTAGATAGGGCTTGGAAGATTAGTTTCCACTAAACATGGGTTATTTTCAGGGTCGAAATGTTAATGTTGCTAATTTACCTGAGGGTAATAGGGTAATCATTGAAATAAATGTATCATCAATGCGCCATCTATACCAGTAGCAGCTGACTCCTGGTCATGCCCACACCAAAACCTTGTGCCTAATCTAGAAGTGGAAGATTGGACAATGTTCATCTGGTTGGCGGTATACCTACCCCTCTGAAAAATATGAAAGTCAAATGGGAAGGATTATCCCATATATTATGGAAAATAAAAAATATTCCAAACCACCAACCAGTCATGTTCTACCATGTTTGTTTTTAATCCTATGTTTTCTATAAAAATGCAGGTGCTCTGGCCTGAAACTACGGTGCGATCTCATTGCGATCCCATTCAAAGCCAGGTTTATTAGTGTAAAGATATGAGACTTGCCATATTTGCTAAGAAAATCCTAAGATGGTACAGGAAAAATGTCCATTTCTGATGGATTAACATTCATCATCCTGAACAAATCTGCTCTCCACTGCGTCCCAAGGTGATGACCTCAAACGATAGCGTCCTGTTTTTTGATACCTCAAAAAAATCTACAGGCTTTATGGTAGATATATCTACCGCTATTTTTATGGTAGTTTTAACTAATCTATCAATGGTGGGGGAAAAGAATTGTAGCATCATATCACTTTTTCAATATTTGTCCATGGCATTTGGGAATCACCAGTCCCCATCTGCGCACTACGACTTCTGTTCAAGCTCGTATGAGACCCATTGGTTGGGTCTGTTTGGTTGGGGCGAATATTCCAGCCAAGGTGTGTAATGTGGTTAAAACAGTGCCATTTTTACCACCCATGACCCATGACTGGGAATGGTTTATATATACCACCTATATATATTTATGGTGAATTTATGATGGTAAACATGGCATTGTTTTACCCACATTACCCATTTCTACTCCACAAAAAAACTGGCCAACACATAATGTTCCCGAGTTACAGGTTCCAGCCTCCACTACAGGATAGCCCCCACCTTAGCAACCCGATGAAGTCTCCAGGTGCTTACACACATCGGTAGATTCCTTCATGAAGACGGATCAGAGTATTTAAAAACAACAATCAAACTCAATATGATTCTCAGAATTAGAAAGCACATGATATTCTCAGCCCCAAAAAGTTACCCCATGGTTTTTTAACATAGCCATGGAATCCATGGCCCATAGAAATAGATGGTTTACCTAGCTATAAAATGGTGGATCTTTCCATGGCAAACTGTTAAATAACCAGATGGTATCATCCCTACTTGGTGGTGCCCCATAGTTATTTAAGTTGGTTTATAAGTCCAATAACTATGGTTTATAGGTGATATATCGAACTGGTTAATGGGGTTTATAATGAACCAATAAACATAACGTTTGGGGGCACCACCTTGTACTTGGTGGTTCATCCAACTTAGTAAATGAAAAAAAGTTCACACGTTCACATGGGGATCTCCATGAACCTGCTAAGGTGAAGTGACCATTTTTTGAACTTATCATGGTGACATAGCTATGAAAAAAATCTAAATACCTATAATAAATAGTATGTATAACTATCATATCATATATATACCAGTATACCTGTATATATCATACATACCTATCATGTTTTATAGCTCCTACGTTGTTGGTTGTATACCCCAACATCTCTCCCATCCAGCAACCATCTACAAGGTGACAAAGTTGTCCTTGTTGCAAAATTGGCTTACTTTTTTAAACAACATCTTAAAACTAGTTATAGTTATTATAAGTTTGTTAGATATATGTTAGACTTATATAGTTACTATCATTACAACTATAATTGGTTTACATACATCTTACAACTACCGTAATTGGGGTCTATGGTAGATAGTCGTAGATATATAGCTTCGTAGTTTTCATGGGGTTTGCAAACAAACATACCCTCCGGTGGATTGGACATAGACATAGAACATCATAGAAAATCATAATAATAATCACTCATCACAATAATGATCATCATAGAAAATCATCATCTTTAATGATCACAATAACTTTAATGGGAAAAAACACACACCGACGATGGTTTATGGGCCATTCCAGCGGGACGATCGAAGATATCGAAGTTCCGGCAATTTGGTCTTGAACCGATGGGACTATCCACATGTTTCGTCCCCAAAAAAAATCACCATCAATAAACCTGGGTAAATTATAATAATAAATCTGGGGAAAAATCACCATAATAATTGAAATATTATAATTTACCTGTGACATTAATGGTGATAAATCTGGGTAAATTATAATATTTCACTAACCTGAATTAAGGCTATTTGGGGATATTTTCCCTTACCATGATTCCAGTGAGGGAGAACAGTGAGGTCGTGATGAAATTTACCCAGATATATGGGTATAACCACCCGCAGTTCTAGTAGTTGTCAACGTGGCGGTTTTCCAGATTATTGCACTATTGAAGACTTTAAACCAGAATTATGAACATGATTAACCATTATGAACATGATTGTCACCACTATCACTATGCAGATTACTCATCTATTTCCACTATCAACCATTCTAACTATCGATTAACCACTATCAACCACTATACCTATCTATTAACCACTATTAACCACTATAACTATCTAAAAAACAACACTATTAACCACTATTAACCACTATAACTATCTATTAACCACTATTACTCATTATTCCCAGATCACTTTCTTTCCCGCCAGTCACGTCACCCGTTAGAATCCACACCTGGAGATTTGGCAACGCTGCAGAAACACAAGACAAAATCCACCGACCTGGGTCGGCTGGGGGATGTTCTGGTGCTTGTTCTGGTGCTATGTTATGTACAAAATTCATACATACTGGCCACAGGGTGGTGCCCCGTAGTTAGCTAAGTTGGTGCCAATAAGTCCAATAACTATGGTTTATAGGTGATATATCTATAGTTAATGGGATGTTAGACACTTCTTCATGTTCCCATGATGGATCCATGGTGCTGGTATATATATATATGTATTATATATGCTAACATGACTGGGGTATATGGATGGGATCCATGGCACACCATAGCAGCACCATGGATCCGTCATGGGCTTATGTATAAAATTCTATATGTATATATATATTGCGGATGATGCAATGGTAGGGGCCTAGACACTCCAGTTGAAGATGTACCTTGGATTCCCTGATCCAACCAAAATGAGAAATGGGGTCCTCCTGAACCAATAACCGAAGGAAGATCGTCCACGATCGATATGGAAATGATGTAAAAGGCCAACCCTATGGCTCCACCAAAGACCACGCGCCTAGTGCCCTTTTTCCAAGGCACACCACAGGTCAACCCCTCTTGGGCCTTCAAGCAAAATGCCGGATGCAGAGGAAGTTGGCAAACCCCTTTGGTCAAGCATGCGGACATGGCGATGACACAACCCGGATTGGTGCACAAGGTTTGGGAAATAGACAAATCACACTCCCAAAATTTCTTTATTATTTATAGTTTTATCTTTTAGATGGATTAACCCCAGGCAGGCCATGGAGGAGAATCGCCATTTTGGCATTCATGTTGACTTTCCGTGGTGGCTTTGGACAGCCAGGTTTTCTGGGCTTTCTTGTCGGCTCGCTGTTTGAGAATTTCTTGAACATCATGCAAGCAACAGTACTTATGTTTGAGGAACTCTCGGAGCTGATATGGATCCATAACTTTGGTGAGGGCGTCTGCAAGTTGTGCTGCTGAATGGACCCAATGAGGTCTAATACCTTGTTGAATATTTTCTTTGATCACCAGTGCCTCAATCAAAGTACGATGCTCTTGACATTGCGGAGTCGTACTCTTAGAGATGACATCATAAAGGGATTTGCAATCGACGACAGCTATGCTTGGCGGTTCACTGAGCCAAACCTTCTCAGGAGTTTGCCATGGTATAGTTGGATTTCTCAACCAGGACCATGCAAGGCGCAGCCAATTGAGGAGATCTACAGCGGACGAAAGAGCAAAAGTCTCTGAAGCCAAGGTGGATGCCACAACACGCTCGATCTTCTTGGAGTACCATGTGAGTGGACTAGACAAGGCTTTTTGTTGTCCAAAAACATCTTGATGAACAGCCAGAAACAAAGCCCCCTTTTGAGATTGCTGTTTCTCACGAGTGGCAAATGAAGCATCAGAATACGCTACCATACGAATTTCATCATCAGGGATACTGGAAATCGTGACACCAATGTGAGCATGTTTCTGTGCATCACCAAGTAAACGGTTGGCTTCCAGCAAGTCATGAACTTTGGCACAGTTAATCTTGGATTGCAGAAAACTCAAACGTGCCGAAATGTCAGGTCGGGTATTTGAGGCTGCATACTGTAAGGACCCTATGAGTCCTCTCAGGCCCTGACGTTCAGCTTCAGTCACTTCAAGTTGCTCTAGCTTCCTTCTGGAACGATCGATTGAGATTGGTTCAATACTCCGGACATAGTCAGTCTGGTCCAAATGAATATTATATTGGGCATCCTGACTGATGTGGATTCCAGTGAAAACAAAGTCAGACGCTTTCTTTGCTCCAAAAGGATAGCGAGATTCCAGCTGAGTCAAAGCGGCATCAAAAACACTGTCACCAAAACAAAGACCGTCATCGACGTGAGTGCCGATGGCTCCGTGGACGTTGCCCTGCTGGTCAGCTAACACGAATACACAGGGATCTAAGGGACTCAGCACAAAGCCTAGGTGAAGCAGGTAGTCCTTCAACTCTGAGTACCATAGGAAGGGTGCATTGACGAGCCCATAGGCTGATTTGAGTAACTCACAAATTTCTGTATCTTTCAGACCCATCTTTGTGCGAAGTTCCGGAGGAGGATCCAGGCCTAACACCCGGTTGTCTCGACGGGATCTACGTAAAAACGCAGTTTTCACATCGAAGCTCCTGACTCGCCACTTTCTGGAGGCACAAAGTTGGAGTAATAGAGAACGAGATTCTTTTTGAAGGGTCGGTGAATCCCGCGGAATCTCCGTTAGGTCAGGATCTTCATATCCAAGCACCACTAAACGTGCCTTAGGTTTACGTGACTTGCCTTCTACATGTGCTTCTTGTGGATCCAAATCCTTCCACGTAAGTACCCACCGGCATCGAAGAATGTTCTTGTCTGGGATTCTAGACCTAAGGATTTTCCGTACAGTTTCTGTGTCTAGCCATTGACTGATTTCCTTTTCTTTTGCCTTTTGAAAGTCTGCTTGTTCTGACAATGAGAGGTCTCTCAGCTTTACTTCAGTTCGTTGGCGCTTCGCCGCCGCTGCTGCAAGAACTGGGAATTGGTGTGGATCTTCACAGATCTTTTGGCATTCTGATTCTGAAAGAAAAATCTCACATTCGAATGCTTGACCTTCTTCGACATGCATGATGTCTTCCTCTAGCACATGGTTCACAGTTTCCTCTTTGATGACAGTAAAAATTGTGACTCCAGTCCATGGTTGCTCTGTCGACCATTGGTGATCATCCGCACCCCACTGATCCCGATATGTCCAAATGGACCTTCCTGGGCTGTTGCCGGAAGTGGTGCGTTCTCCACATATGGACAAGAGATCCACAGGGCAGTCGGAACAAGTGCTCGGATCAAAAGCTGCAGTCCGAGGCCGATGGTGCACGCGGATGACTTTGTCATTTTGACAAATCCAAGCATCTTCCATGACGAGGTCATCATCACTACTGTCAACTGGTACGGGAACTTCAATAGGGTTGGTTACTGTTTCGGGGTTTACGTTATCATCAGGAATATTACTAAGTGGAGTAGTCGGGGTATATTCATTGGAGTGAATGGATGGTGGTGGCATGCTCGGTTCTGAGTCAGGTTGGTGCTCTGCATCAATTTGGATATGTGGTGGATTTTCGGAGGTCACATTTTCGTTTGGGATTGGCATGTTTTCTTCAGGCATGATCGCAGGAATCCCCGTAAGGTCTTCATATTGAAATACTCCTTTTCCAACTTCTTTGGGTGGCATAGACATGTCACTCCTGGACATGTTGGACAGTTGCTCTCCTGCTTCCCTTTCAGACAAAACACGGACATGTTCTGGGGCAACTCGATAAACCCTACTGGCAAAGGAAACCCAAATGACATGTTCAGCTTCTTGCACTATCACTCGGGCCGGCCCATGCCATTGGCCTGGATTTTCGCCTCTACCTGGACGCCAAAACATGACGAAGGCACCGCTTGGGAAATGTCCACGGTGGGGTCTCTGTCTTCGCAAAAACGCCCTCCGAAGCTTTTCACTATGATCGGCATGGACAAAAGCAAGACGTGCACTTTCACGCTTGGCCAGGTTTTCTCTAGAGGCCAAGCCTTCAGGTGTCTCAGAGTCAGCCAGATATTGGGAGGCTGTGCCAGTCTCTTCACTCAAACTTCCAGGCAGCTTTCGGGCTTTTCCTAAAACCAAAATTTCAGGGGTGTATCCACGGAAGCGTGATAGGGAATTCTTGGCATTACAACACTCTCTCAAAGCCATTTTGAACTGTTCGTGATTTTCTAGTGGATGATCATGATCAAACTTCTCAAGCATGTGTTGTAAGATATCCCCATGTCTTTCAGTGCGTCCCAATTGCCAGTGAGCAAACGCGGCCACAATACGGAGATGCACATCAAGACCCTGGGCAAGCTGAATGAATTCATCGGAACAAATTCCTGACGCATTGTCGGCTACTAATTGTTTGCTTGGACCTGCCCAGTGAAACCAACAATCCTGCAGTGCTTCATGGAGGGCTGATGCATCAGTTCTAAAAACTGGGATGGCTGCTTGGAAGTTGGTGGCTGCATCAATCACGTGAAGAAACTGGAATTGTTTATGGCTCTTCGGCGATGTCCAAGTGATCAGGTCGCAGCCAATGCTATCATTGAACTCTCGAATTTCTGAAATGGCCGCTGGTCGCGATATGCGAGGGCCCTGCACTTCATGGCAGGTACTGCATCGAAAGTCATCAACCCCTTGCAGGATCTCAGGGGCATATCCCTGTTGGGACAGCACATTTTTCAGCTTCTGACAGTTCGGATGACCTAGATTATGGTGAATCTTGGATATCCATTGTCTAACTGCTGGCTTGAGGCTGAGATACTTGGGACCATGTTGTGCTGTGGACTCGGCCAATTGTTCGATATCTCGATTGCATGTCTGATTAGAACAGGGCACATCACCTGATTGCTCAACCGTTTCTGATATTGGCGGATTGGGCTGTGCAGGTAAGGGAACATCAGGGCTGTCATGTTCACTCCTGAATCTTTTGTTCTGCATGTCCATGGATGACTCTAGTTCATGTCTTCGGGGATTCAGGTTGGCTTCAGCATCGTTACTTTGATTACTGACCTCACCCTGATTACCCACTTGACGAGCAAAAACAGAAATCAGGATTCTGGAGGGTGGTGCCGAGCTACACATTTGACGATTGCTCATGCTTTCCCAGTGGATCCATGGAGTCGGTTCGAAAGGCTCAAGGCTGTGACGATGCAGACCGAAGGTCATTCGCCACGGAGCTTCATGCTTCGTCAGCTTCCTGGGTGGTTTGCGGAAACGGTCCGCTCCCTTGCACAGTTCAATGACTCGAATCTGATAGTCAGGACAAGCATTTTGGATAGTCTCAAACAATTCACCTCGTTCAAGAACCAAACTGCCTACCCTAGGTGCGGCATGGAGTGCTTGTTGGAGAATCTGAGACCAACTCACTTTAATAGCTTCATCCAGTTTTGGTACATTTGCATCCGATTCTATGGAGTCAGATGGACCGGCATCAGGGTCGTCATAGCCAGGAGGGTTGGACGTCTTGGC